TGATCTCTGAAGTTTACTTACTGGCTGCTGGTGATGCTATTGCACTGAACTCTTCACACTGATAACTTTACCCTGGTTATTGTTTGATAGGCTAGTTCTGATCTCAGAGAAGAACATCGAAAGCTGCAAAATGAAAATGATTTGTTGAGGCGCAGTATGGGCATGGATGGTCAGAGGTTACAACTTATTGAGGAGAATGTGAAGCTGAAGCATGAGAACAGGGTTCTAAAAGTGCAAGTTGATGCTTTATGTGAGAAGTTAATTACTGAAAACTCCAGGAACCATGAGCAAGTACGAGCAGATATGATTTGAGTATATCAAAAGAGAGTTGTATTGCTTAAATTGGGTACTACCAGAATATGTGTATGCATGTGTGTTAGGGATGTAGGGATTGCAAAGTTGTGGGTATTACAAGCTAAGTCATCTTTGGAATTACCTTTTTATTCTCTAACCATGTATTTGTCAAACATACTTGGAAGTGCTGCTGCATTTGAGAACGGAAAGTATTGCCTTGAATGCGAAGACTGTTAATTGCATTTCTGTTGGAATAAGAGGTGGATGTGTTCTGTGATTGCCTATGCATGTTGAATCATTCTATTAAAGAAAATTGGAAAGTAAAATATAAAATTATAGGGGCTATTTAATTTTTATCAAGAATTCAGAGTATTTTTTGAAAAATTTTCAAAAGTTGAGGTGGGGGTTGGGGGGAGGGGGGGGAGTGCCCCACTCGCACCCCCTCTCTGATCTCTGAAGTTTACTTACTGGCTGCAGGTGATGCTATTGTACTGAACTCTTCACATTGATAACTTTACCCTAGATATAGTTTGATAGGCTAGATCTGATCTCAGAGAACATCAAAAGCTGCAAAATGAAAATGATTTGTTGAAGCGCAGTATGGGTATGGACAGTCAGAGGTTACAACTTATTGAGGAGAATGTGAAGCTGAAGCATGAGAACAGGGTTCTAAATGTGCAGGTTGATGCTTTATGTGAGAAGTTAATTACTGAAAACTCCAGGAACCATGAGCAAGTATAAACAGATATGATTTGAGTATATCAAAAGAGAGTTGTATTGCTTAAATTGGGCACTACCAGAATATATGAATGCATGTATGTTAAGAAGGGGTGTTAGGGATTGCGAAGTTGTGGGTATTACAAGCTAGATCATCTTTGGAATTACCTTTTTATTCTCTAACCATGTATTTGTCAAACTTACTTGGAAGTGCTGCAGCATTTGAGACCGGAAAGTATTGCCATGAATGCGAAGACTGTTAATTGCATTTCTGTTGGAATAAGAGGTGGATCTGTTCTGTGATTGCCTATGCATGTTGAATTCACAAATATGAACAAGTATTACCCCTTCTGCTTTTGGACAAAAGATTAACAGGGTTAGTCAATAAAGCCTATTACTTTTCTATAAAGCCACGTCTATATGCAACCATTATCCTCCCAAATAGGAAATGACGCTTCATATATCAAACTTTTACTCTCTTGTACCTCTTACCGAGATGACAATGAGATAATTGGTGTGAAGAGCTTCCTGGTAAATAAAACATGTTGGACATTAATTCATTATTCAAAAGAAAGAAACGCACTAGCCTAATTACTGCAAATCAAGCTCGCAGTGCTGGAAATTCTATACCACAGTAGCGCTATCAAGGTCTTTATACAGCTATAGTAACTATATCATTTTGCATCGCCCTACATTTGGTGATAACTGTTTCCCATTTATGCAAACCATGTAGCTATGAACCAAATCCTAGAGCCTCTTCATTAACTGAAACTAGGCTAAAATTTATGGGGTGTTTAGTTGCCAAGTCACTTTTTCTTTTAAACTTCTCTAAACTTTTCTCTTTATAAGGTTATTTACATATTTTCACACATTAATATTACAACAAAATAAGGGTAGAAGTGACATTTTTAGTCTTTATTTTCTCTAACACAATTCTCAACATGTAAACTTCTCTTCTTACACTTTTAAAAAAAAAAAGTTTCCCCTAACTTTTTCTATGCAAGACTCACTTGATCCCTTTTTAACCAACTTTCCCTATATCAATTTTTTACCAAACACAAAAATTTTAATAACCCAATAAAATTTCACTACAAAACTTATTTCTACAGTACTTATCAACTTCTTATATAATACTTTCCTAATTACTTTCCTAATAAAAACTTTCTATATAACTGATGAAATATTTTATAACTGATTGCAGGGTATCCTGTGAACAAATTCAAAGCAGAATATGTGCAGTTTAACAACCTCCGGACATTAAATTTCAAGGCAACAACTGCAATTTAGAATAGGATGAAGAATGAAGACCACTTTAAGAAATGACTCATTAAATACCAGATGCCAAAACAACAACTTTATTCATTTTCTGCATATTCCCATCATCAAGCTGCCCGCTGGTCTAACCGCTGACAAAAAGGGTAAATGTTGCATACTTAGATACAACTACAGTCTAGGTTCAATCTAGAGACTCTACATACCAAAACAGAAACGATACTACTAGCAGTCTAACCCTAGTACTCTTGACCAGATTAACATCTAGGGCTTCAGTTACAGTATCATTTATTCAGTTGTCTGATGAAACACTATTCATATCAATAGAATAACTACGGCAGAAATTCCAAAAAGGAAGATAATGAATGCAAGAAAATGAAAAAGGTGTCTCAGTGCTTTGCAGAATTTAGAAAATTGATATATCATCACTTCATCAAGGGACATAGTTACTCTATATAAGACAGTTGTTAGTTTGGCTTTGGCAGTAACAATAAGAAGCCGAGGAGACATACACCATTTGTAAGATAGTTGCAATAGAACATAAGCAGCAATCTGATTAAACTAAATTGAGGCAGAAATCGAGCATGTCCACAACAATCATAATAAACTCAAACTAATTATAAGCAATAATGAAAGGTAGGTGTCCAAAAAGTATAGAAGCCAAACATGTCCACAACAATCATATTATACTCAAACTAATGATAAGCAATGCTGAAAGATAGGTGTCCAAAACAATGATAAGCTGCAATCTGATTAAACAGAACTGTGGCAGAATCAAAATATAGAAGCCAAACATGTCCACAACAATCATATTATACTCAAACCAACGATAAGAAACAAGGCAGGTGTCTATAACAATCACAAGCAGCAATATGAGTAAGCAGAAGCGAAGCAGCCAATCAAAAATAGAAGCCAAACATGTCCACAACAATCATATTTTACCCAAACTAATGATAAACAATAATGAAAGGTGGGTGCCATTGCATGCATCCCCATTTTCACTCGAGTTGGCCATTCATGATTTCAGCTTGGATTTCATCAATCTGCTTGGCCAACAACTCACTAAGCAAGTATAAGAAGAAAGAAATATCACTTGGTAATCTGACAAAATAAAAATAATATATGAAACGCATGAATACTGGAATGAAAATTGCCTAATGAAACCAACCTGGACTGCTTAAGAAGTTCAACTCCAGCAAAGTCACCATTGTCTTCTGCGTCAATGATAGGAACAGCAAGATCAAGGAAATGTTGGATGCATTCATTTTCCTTTGACAGGAGCTCAATCAACTTTCTAGATTTGGCACATTTAATTTCTTTCTCTTTTACCACTGCCATGTACTTCTCCAGATTCTCTTTTGCACGATTCTTTCCAGCCCTAAGCTTTGATAGCTTTTTCTCCATAGCCACCACTTTTTTTATCTAAATTGTTTAATTTTAGTTAGGCACGCAGATAATTGTAAGTGGAAAAAAAAAAGCAGGAAAGAGTCTTATCTAATATCTACCCAATTTTCCTATATGCCAAGATCTTGGAATAGGTATTCCAATTCCATGGGAACCCCACATGCAAGAAACCATGGGGAACAAGAAATGTGTTGTTTTTGCGTCAATCAAGAACCAGACTCAAGTCAGACTGGAGCAGAAATGTCAATACGTACCATAACTCGCATGCGCGAGGATTTCACGGAACTGCTTCGCTTGCAGATGGAAAGCTGCATGATGTCTCTGGCCATTGATGAAAATTTGGAGTAGAAACAAATCAATTACCTGCAATCAAGTCTAAAAACCGTATTGAATGAGCATCAAAGGAAAAGATCACCATATTTCATCTCTCCAACACATGAAAATTGAATCACCAAACTACAAGAATTCAGAAAGAAAATCTATGACATACGTGGAACCAAACTTACCAATTGCACAAGAGGATCCGTAAAGAGATCACAGCTTGCTGTTGCAGAATATAATAAGGAAATGAAGTGTGAAATGAATTTTTCTTTTTTTAAAAAAAAAAAAAAGAAAAGAAACTAGAAGGAAGGAAGGAAGGAAGGAAGGAAGGAAGGAAGAAAGGAAGGGGAAGGTCATTGGGTGGGTGTGTGTGGCTACTTAGTTGCGAAGGAAAACCGGAGAGCACACGCTGTGCACACGCATACGCAATGCAAACAAGTTTTGAAAAATTCAGTGCTGCTGCCAAGAATCTATAAAACAATGGTATTTGCAGACATTCCAGAAGTAAATCATGGTTTTTCACTATAGGAGTCAACGTAGACTTTATAGTTTATTTTATGATATTATTATTATATTATTAATAATAAAGGAGAACCACGGTATATCATTTTTCTGGACGTGAAAAATACGGTTTCACTTTTGGAGTCAGCTTAGACTTCATATTTTATTTTATGATATTATTATTATTATTATTGATAAAGAAGAACCACGGTAAATCATTTTTCTGGACGTAAAAAATACTAAAACAGGAAGTTGAAGAGGAGTTTGAAGTACAGTTGATCATGATTTTGGAAAAACCAAATTATGACAACAAATCAGGATTGTCTGGAAGATGGTTTAGTGCCATTTTTAAACGAAAACATGTTTGGCAATATATGGGAAATGGGTTCATAAGTCTTTTTATATCCAAGTACCATTTTTGCTACAATGAATATTTAATTGAAAATGAATTATGTAATTTGAATTATACAATTTAAATTATTAAATCTTTTTATGTTGAAAATTTTTATCTTATCTAATGATTTTTATTTTATAATTTAATATAAATTAATTTTTATTTTATAATTTAACATATTTTAAACTATAAAACAATTAATAGTTGCTACTTACGACTTGTCAATCATATTAGCACTCTTGACTGGTCAATTATTTATTCGCCAAAAGAAAACATGTGCAAATAAAGAAATTACTTGTGTGTGGAAGACAAAATTATAGAAAGTAAGATTAATATAACTGTACTTCAAACATGGATATAAAGTTAAGAATTAAGAGTATGGCTTTTTAATGGGGATAAAATTAAGGGTATGTACGGCAAAACTTATTAGCAGACCTAGTTTATACACATTTGGAAAGTGGAAATAAAAATAATGAACAAGTTTTACCCCTTGTCCTTTGCTTTTGGAGAAAAGATGCTGCTTCAAGCTGAGTCTTGTCTAACCAAACATTCAATGTGAATTGGGATTAGTTTTGGCTTTTGTTTTATATATTGGACTGATGGCAATAACTCATAGTGGAAAAGGACAACATTTTTTATTTTTAAAATTTTTTATTAGTTTTTTCTTGACCCATCAACATTTTTGATGTTGGAAGTGGGAACCGAAAAATATCCAAAGAATCATATCACATGCAAAAAGGAAATTTTGGTTAGTATCTTTCTCTCAAAAGGTACCTAGCATTGGTTTTCATGTTTCTGGAATGGCGAGCAACGATGTCAAGGTCTCAAGGACCATAATGAAATCAAAGCAGCAACGCAGTGGTGAATTTGAGCTCTCCTGATCACATATTTTCCAGATACCAACACGATTAAAATTGGGGACTTTTCTCCTTTCCTT